TGTTGTTGTTGTTGTTGTTGTTGTTGTTGCTTCTGCTTTTGCTGCTTTTGGGAGAGATGTTGGTAGAGGTAGTGAAACATTCTTCGATAAGAAAGCAGCTGAATTGATTTACGTGTCAAAAGCAAGCTGATTCGGGGTGTGGGTTTTTTCTGTTTTTCTTTGTTACTGGCAATGTGGCCTCCTAGGATCATTAGAATTGAACTATGAAACTTGTAAAAAGGATGGTTTTACAGATAAATTATAACTACAACTAATACCATAGTTAGACACAAGATACTCTTCTGGAAATATTTCTTTAATCATTCCTTGTAAAAGTTAGATTTTGTCAAAGCACTTGTTAAAGAAATCTTTAACAGTTATAGGCGCAATCATTTTCAAGGGAGTTTCTGAACGAAAATATTATGTCCACCTTTTGCAGAAGTCTCTGCAGAAGTTATATACAATATGTGCCCTATTGGGGTGCTTCCTAATGTTATGAGGGTCTATTGATTTTTTCCAGAAAAGTAAAACTTGTTTTCTTTTGGTTTTGCCCAGAAAGAAAATATATGTCCGTTTTGAATGCGTTTTCTAGACGTGCGTGCTCTTTCTCGAAAAACTGTTTGAATTTTTTGTACAGGAAATAGGTTTCTTGCAGGAATTTCCGTTGAAATGGACACTCTCTGAGGACGCTTTAATGGAAAATCGCTTGAGCAGGATCCGACATCAAAAGCGTAAACAAAAAGCCCCTTGTTTTGGGGGAAATGCTGATACACAGCTCAGTTTAACTGTTACACACGTGTTGTTGTTGTTGCTGTTATTGTTGTTGTTGTTGTTGTTGTTGTTGTTGTTGTTGTTGTTGTTGTTATCGTTGCATGTGTGTCCTAACTAATTTGTTTGGCTCATTTTAAAAAGCGAATGGTTGGAGTTAATGGAGTTAGAGCGTCATTAATAGGTTCTATTTTTTGTCTGTCTGTCTGTCTGTCTTTTATTTTTCCCTATACAAAAAAAACCGTTATGTGTCGATATGCCCCTCTTTACTCAGAAGAAAAAGCATCAATTCTGAACCCGATGTAGATTCGTTTACGTTCGTGACTAATTCAACAACCAAATTTAAAGCCAATATCGACACAGTTCAGATCATTTACGAGACGCACTACTTCGACTCTTAGATCTTTTCAGGACCACGCATTAAAATACCCCCACCCCTTTCCTCGTAGAATAGAACTCGTGCCGTTCGCGTGTAAAGCAATTTTTAAAAATCATTTGATCGCAGATGCCGCTTCTATGTTCCAAGGATGCATGCAAAAATACAATTTTACCTTGGCGACTAGTACTGCCATGGACACAGCACAAAAAAGCACGTTGTGATTTCGAGGCTGTTAAAGCTCAGCTGGTCGCGCGGATCAGAGAGGCTTCCAGCTTGTTCTTTACCTTACTGGCATACTCCAGTCCAGCGTCTAGAGAAGGAACAATCTCTGTGTCTTCGATATAACGTATTACTCTATTACTTTGTATCTATTGTGGCGCTAGACCTCAACTCCAACCAATACGATAGCATCTTTTGTTTGTCTGTATTTCAGACTTTCCAGGCGGATGGTTGGAAGGCGCCACTGGTAGGTCCTACCCCCCCCCCCTCTGTTGTCTCTGTCCGTTCTCAGACAATCTGTATGGGTGGTTGGAGAGCACCCAGTGGCAGGTCCTGCTTATTTCCTTTCCCTCTGTTGTTTCTATCTACCTGCCTTGCATCTATCCAGTAATATTATGATGTGACCGTTATGTCGATGTGCTTTTCTTTACTCAAACTCAAGCTCAAAAATGTTCCTGCTCCCGTCTATTCTTAGAATTGACTTTTAACTGACGCCCTCGGCACCTTGATCAGACACAAGCTCGTCACACTGGCCTACCTCTGTCCTCACAAGACCCAACATGGTAAGCGAGACAGAAGGGCCGCCAGGGTCTGCAGCCAACAGCCCCTCCTTCACGTCCAGACCCTTCATGTTCTACTTTGGAGTGGCGATCAACTTCCTGGGCGTGGCTCTCTTTCTTGCAGGCGTAGCCTCAGACAGTTGGCTGGTCTTTGACGCTCAGGATGACGTCACCACACAGAAGTGGACGACCGGTGTAATTGTCATTAGAAAGAAGCGTCTACGCAACTTCGGCCTCTGGAGCGCCTGTAGGGAGGACGGGTTGTGTGACCACCTCTGGTTGGTGGTTGGTGGGCTAGGTGAGTTTGGTGGTACATATAACTGAATTTGATTATCATAGATTTCGATTTCTAAAAAAAAAAAAAAAGACATTTCGATGTCATTTGTAGGGTTACTGGACGATTTGAATGAAACAGCCTAACATAGGAGACAGTGAAACAGACCAAGAAAATCCCGAGTGCAACCTTATAATGCCCATAAAGAGAAGGATCTAAGGCGAAGCCAAACAACAACAGGATTACATAGATAAACCATTGGATCGATAGAGAGAGAGGGCGAGACAGAGAGAGGGTGGTTAGAAAAGGAGAGAGAGAGAGAGAGAGAGAGAGAGAGAGAGAGAGAAGGAAAGAGAGAGAAAGAGAGAGGGGAGGGGGGGGAGAAACGGAGA